AGGGAAAGAAATACACACATTCCTCTTTCAGCATGACCAATTTACAAGTTTTTGTTTACATTCAGTTTCACTCTGGTTCTTATTGTATGCCCAGAGATACTTGAGCATACCCCAGTAGCTTTAATTAGGATTACAGTTCATATGCCTGCAATTTGAAGGCGGCTATAGCTGGGTTTGGAGTGCCATCTGATGGAAGGTCAAGGATTACAGGGGAAAACTGAGTATTCAGCAATCAGGTGGCTACCTACCTCAGTTGCATCCTCTTTCCATAGAAAATGTTGAGCATCAGACCGTGTACGCTGCTAGAACCAACTTTGCTGTCATTTGCTAGTGAATGGGACTTTTCTTAAATCTAGTTGTGTGTCACAATTCCCATATCACCCTTTCTACCCCAATAATATCAAAGGTGCTGCACTTACAATCTCAGTCGAGGCTCAACACATCGCACAAAGTAGTCAAAATCATCCTCCTCCTCCTCATCCCAGGTCCTCCAGATGCACTGGTAGAAGAACCTTTTGAAGGAAAGTAAGCATTTAATCACTCAACAGAACCCACATATACCAGAGCAGAGACAACAACACTGAAAAAATGATTGTAACCATTTTGAGAATTCATCTCAAAGCGTCACCTCTCTCCAGTTCCATGTTACTGTCCTGTAAACTATTTTGCATAAACAGAAATTATCTTTTTTGTCTATTGTTTACCTGCATAAAGAGTTTTGTTGTGTATCTAAGTTCAAAATTCATAACAGCCTGAGGCCCACTTTCATCAAAAGAGACTAAACAGCTAAAAGCTGCATTTGAAATCAAGTCTTACACACTTAAGATCCTTTTTTTTCGTTGTTTGGTTTTGGCAAGGCATCCTTCAGATAATCTTTCTTTTTGACAAGGAGTTTGTCACCTCCATCATTCAAGCTTTCATCTCCACTACTGAGTAATTTTCAACAGAATGTGTCTCTTCTCTCCTTTTCCTCCCATACTCACCACTTCTGAAAAGTTCCATTTTCTAGACAGGAGGGTCATTCATCCTAGTTTAGCTTTTTTATTCAGTTCTACTGCCTATTTGTAGACAGCTTTCAAACAGCATGTAGTACATAAAAGCAAGGAAGATGGAAAAGAGACAGAGAGACAACAAAGAAAAAAATAGAAGAATAAAGATGTGACTGGACACTTGAAGAATAAAGAGCAAATTTCGGGGAGGAGGCAAAATGCAGAAAAAAAAAAAGAATAGGGCAAAAAAAGGAAAAAATTAACCAAAAGAAAAGAACACTGCACTAGAGTCCCTGCTTTTGACACAAAAAGAAGACTAACAGCTAAACCTTATGCGTTTTCCTACCTGACATGCTCTACAGCTAGTGCTGTCTGGTCAAACTCTCCTGACTCATCATACACAACCCACAGTGCCTGCAGTGGTATCTTATGCTCCTTCAGCTCCAGGATTTCCTGCACACACTCCAAGGTAAAGGTGCTATCCCGTGACTCACACAGGAAAGGCTCACTGAGTTTCACAACTGCTTTCAGAGCCGTGTACTCCACATCAACAACCTGTTGGAACAAATTGTTCTTAAGATTTCTCAAAACTTCAGACACAGCAAAGGAAGCCTAACACGACATGCATAATCAGCAGATCATACTGCAAGTGTCTGTTGACCCACACAAACCCATGCAGGCTGCATAGTACAGTAAACACAATCTGCTCAACTGAAGTGATAACCCCAGAATTAAGCTTCTCAGAACCACCCATCTAGAGCCTTTTCGACATTTAAGACTTCATTCAAATCCCTCATAATGCTCATAAAAGGCCAGTAAACTGCTTCCCTGATTTGTTTTTTTTTAAAAACAGGCAAAAACAGTATCCTGAGACTGAAACAAATCAGTATCTTACAGTTCTTAAAAAGGCCAGTAAACTGCTTCCCTGATTTGTTGTGTTTTTTTTTTTAAACAGGCAAAAACAGTATCCTGAGACTCAAACAAATCAGTATCTTACAGTTCTTCGGGACTCCTTTGGGGCTCATTTTTGAAAGTGCCCACAAGACACAAACAATCCAAAGAGTTAGTCTGGGCCAGTGAAAGCCCTAGTCACTAACTGGGCTGAAAAACAGAGAGTACAAAGATTTTCCCTCTTCAAACATGTAACAGAACTGCAAGTTTGAACATCCAAGGTGTTGCACAAAGATGCACAACTAGGACATTGAGAGGCCTAGAAAAGGAATATCCCAAACCAGTAACCCTCTGTAGGTCTATGACAGGAGTATGCAATGTGGAAGAGCTACTGAGCATTAAAAGTGCATTTAAAGGAAGAATTTCACTGATTAAAAAAACTGACAAATTACCAGAGCCTGATATTTGAAAAGACTACATTACAACAGCCAGCTCTGGAACAAGTACTAATCCCTTCTGTGCCCACAGAGTCCTACTGCACAGCTCACTCACATTCAATTGGTGTTCCCCCTTCTCGTTTCAAGTAAGGAGCCCTTAGGAAAAAAATCCCTATTGCTCTAGCCATCAGTGGCAATTAGCTATGAAAATGTTACTATTTTCTACCAGCTCATAAACTTCATAGAGAAATGATCTGTCACTAACGGAGGTAAATTATGCTAATTGGAGACAAATGCCTAAGCAACTGCATTCCATTTACCTCAACAAGGGCCTCAAACACATTAGTGCGCCAGACTGCCTGCCATCCATGTGGTTCAAGGACCTTCTCCAGGTATTCAGCTGTGAATTCTTTCACCTCAGAAGCTTTGCAGTCAGCTAAAAAGAAATTGAAGACAGTACATTTATGCAAGAACAGGAAGTCCCCCAAATCATTAAAAAAATGAATGTCAACAAAGCTGAAGTGTTCCTCTACCACACATAAAATTTGACCTCATTCTGTTTTGCTCATGAGGATTTTTTGCTCTGTCAATACTAAGAGAGCTGAACAGTCATCTGTTTTGTGCTTCTCCAGAAGAAGGGATCCAGTACTCAACCTTCCAGGTACTGAAGGTTTCAGAGCCAGTGGTATTAAACAGCTAACCTGTGCCTTATCTATATTAGCACCTTTTCCTTTCAATTATTCAGATTTTATTTACTTATTTTAAAACCACTGCCTCCTTATCCCCAAACTAGAGCAGCTCAGGTTTCAGCAAAAGCCATGGCAGTGCACTACATCTTCTCTAGTCTGTGTTATTGAAAGTGTCGCACAGTTTAATATGGAATTGATTAAATTTAAACTGGATCGTTTAAACAGTCACTACAAGAGACCTGAAGACACATTCCTTTTCTACTAAGAAATTACTTACCCAAGATATAATCCTGGTAAGCTTTAAATCGCTCGTAAAACAAAAGCTGATCAGTGCGAAAAATATCGGGAAAAAGCACATTCCCATCTGGCACAGTCCTTCCTAAAGCAGACCCTGGTTTGTCACGACTGCCATAATCACTACCAGAATCATCATCTTCCTGGAGCAGATCTGTGGAGACGAGTGGGAACAAAACAACCCTCACAAACTGTCAGTTCAACGCAATCATCACTCATTCCTCTATTCCCAAAGAACTCCAGTTCAGCACAAGTTCTATCATGAACCTACTTTCTACAACATATCCTAAACTATCCTTGGTGAAGAGACTATCTTACTTTGTTACTTGCTCTCTTCTTCAGAACATTCAACCTCTCCCCAGAGAAGATCTATTTGTTGCCACCTGCCCTGAACTGCAGTTACATGTTAATTTGATTTGTTCTATATGTAAGCTTTCAGGATGTATTATGAAAGCTAGCAGTTTTGACCTCAAATTTTTAAAATTCTTACATATCTGGTGCAAACAAAAATCAAGGCCAGCGTATGAGCCAAATACAAATGCTTTGACAATGTAACTTTTCTTTGTAACAGAGCTGTTGTAGTAACATGCAAAGAACGGAAATCAGGGGATTCTAATCAAGTATGATGTATGAAATACTTTTAAAGTTTCCTGTAAACCTGTAGCTATGTTACACATACACTGCAAATAAGAGTTTTTCTCCTATGCACCCATAATCAAATCCAGCAGCTATCACAGCAAAACACTGTACAAGCCACACGATGCATTCCAGAGCACCTCACAGCTTCCAGAACAAGCCATGTTGTATTCAGCTTTCTCTTCTTTGTATTCAGTTTCTCAGTTTACAAACTGTAAGCTTATAAGCCCACACCAACAACTACCTAGTGCTGAGCAATGATTCTCGGTAGATACTCTAAGTACCAATATTCCACCATTGGGCAGGGGAGCTGCTGCCAGGTAAGCGTTTTTCCTCTGTTCCAAACATACATGATCCTGGAGGCTGGTTTAAATACCTGCGTTACGCACCTGAGACACACGCCAGGAGCTGATAATCAATAAGAAAAAAATGTTTTGCTTTACTGCGTTTGTTTCCAAAGACACCCCTACGTTCCCTCGCAGGGCAGCATTCCCAGCCGGGTCCTTGCAGCCTCAGGAACGGGGAGCTCTGAGCCGCGGCT